CAGGCCACCCCCAGCACAGGCCACCCCCAGCACAGGCCCTCCCTGCAGGCCTCCCGGCAGGTGTCAGAGGCTAGCCCAGAGCAGGCCCTTTGGACAAGCTGCCCGCTGCTTTACAGTCAGATGGGCGCAGGATGCCAATGAAACTGGGCGTTGCTTTTAGTCGGATGTTGATTGATTCGCTTTCTCCTCTAGATGCAGACACCCCGGCCGTTAGGGCGTGTGCGGGCGAGCGGGGCGGGTGGGCAGAGAGGAGGCCGAGGACTCGTTCTCCGTTACCAGGTGCTCCCTCGCCCCTCCCAAGGGGCCTGTGCCCAGCCCGGCCCGGCGCTGGGGCCTACGCAGCCGGTCCAGCTGTGTCTCCAGGGAGACGGCATCAGTGCGACAGCTGTGGCTCCGGCGGACAGGAGTTGACCCCAGCAAGGGGCATCAGATGCACAGGCAGGAGACATGGCGGGAAGCAGAGCTTGAGGGTCCCGGCCTCCCCAAGAAGCAAACAAGAGAGTGCCCCCTCACCTATCCGAGCGTGAGGCCACTCGGGGTGCCCGCGCCCCAGCTGGGGCCGTGCAGGAGAGGCCTCGGTCCTCGGGGCGGGCACCCTCGGGGCGGCCTTCCCCACCGGAGCTGACCTCGCTCGCACCCAGTCGTGACTTTCCATTCAATAACGCCACGCTGAGACCGTTCACTACAGAATCTCCTGGAGAATCCTCGACGGACATTTGGAAAGGCAACTGCCTGAGTCAGAGCTTCTCTTTGGCTCTCTGGCTGGGTTAGGGCCCAAGCAGGAACAGGTGAGGTCCTGGCGCGGAGACCCGCGGGGGCAAATCCCCGTCCTGAGCAAAGAGAAGTCGCTGACAGCTGCCCAAGGAGACGAGGCACGAGCGAGACAGGAGCACTTGCTGCAGAAACGCCAGCCCGGCTCCACGGAAGGGCCCGGGCAGCCTCTGAGGCTGCACGCCGTGGGCACCTGGCACCCTCGGAGGCCCCGGGAAAAGGGGAGGCGGACACGGGGGGGTCGTTTCTCAGAGCAGCGACTAACAATCGGGAAGACAGAAACGCCACGGGTTTGCATTTCGCTTCCGCGCAGAAGCTACTGCGCCCCCCTGTCGCGCCAGCAGGCTGCTGCCCTGGAGCCAGCATCCTGCTTTGGAGCAGAGTAAGCGGGTGGCACAGACACCTCCGGCCCTTCCTCCCACAGACGGCGCTGAGGAGCCGCCAGGAGGCGAGGGACGAAGGCCAGAGGCGAGGGACGAAGGCCAGAGGCGAGGGACGAAGGCCAGAGGCGAGGGACGAAGGCCAGAGGCAAGGACGGGCTTTGCTGGTAAGCAAACCAGGGGCCGAAACTGAGCAATGGCCCCAAACCAGCGACCTCCAGAGTCGGCTCTCGGAGGACCCCCGGGCCTCAGAATGGTGACCACTGTCTTCTGTCACCCTCGCTGCCAGATGTTCAAAGGGCAGGTTTGCGTTCATGCAGCGATGCTGAAGGCTCGCACAAGTGGCTCATCTGCAGGGTTTCGCTCTGACAGCTAAATGGATCCATCCTGGTA